TAACCATATTATGATAAATGGCTGTCTTCAGTCATTTCAACATTAATTTGTTTTCTCAAGTGTTAGTCCAGAGGCCCCATTTATGGTGGGTGGGGGAAGGGACCCCTGCACCCTAAAAAGCCTGTCATAAAATGGGGCTCTTCAACCAAGTTTACTCAAGAGCCTAAATGTTGAAAATGGGGATCATCAGAGGCCCAAGCCTCAACGTAGAAAGATCATTATTACAATACAGCTAGCAATGATCTGCAGGCCACATGAATAGCCATGAAATAAAAGATTACGTTACTGTGCTGAAATCTAATGTTTTGGGCCAGAAGGCGCAGCTTAGCTGTAAAAAATAACATGTCAACCGCACTTTTATTGGGCAATACAGAAGAAAATCATTTGTCAAAAGATCTCTCTCTCTCTCTGGATTTTATTCCCTGATGGAACATAGGTCCACAGTCAAGCCAAATTCTCGTGCTCTTTGCCAATTTTTATAGCTCCAGGTATGATCGTCATATATTAGTCATATGTTATTAATTCTCTTCTCCATTAATTTTTAGGTCTTTTTTTTTAAATTTTACCCTATGGGTTCCACAGTAAGAACTTTCCAGCTATATTATTAACAAGTTTTCTCAACTTGTGTAAACAGCAGCTCTTTCTCACATCTTGATACACTGGGGTTTGTTTCGTTTCCACAATGATGTTTCCATAATGCTATAGAACTCCCTCTGAGTTATGAGTTATGATTTGGGTTATCTTTATGGCACTCTGGACACGTCCATAGGTGCTCAGACAGACCCCTTTAACATATACATCAGCGTCCCGCTGTTGATGGTCTGGTGTGCTTTTCATGCTTGGCGTTGCCGATCTTTACTCCCAATTCTTGCACTCTTGGCAAAGATGTGGTTGTGCTGCTCCCAAAATCCTCCAAACATCCTACCTCTCTAATGCATTAACAATGTTGGCATGATGTATGGGCTGGCCCTCTGTAGAACTCCCTCTATTCTGCACAGGTAGTTGTATTCATTACTAAATTATTCTTAGTTCTTCTCCATGGTTTCTATCCATAATGTCCTACTGGTATGATATGATGTTAAATAGTATAGTTAAATATTATGTTTAGTATTTAGAATTAATTTACTTTGACCTACACACACTTTTGACGCTAAGAAAGTACCGTTTTGTATTCTCTTATTTTAATATCTTCATTTCTTCTCTAAAACTGAAATATTTTGGTCATATCAAGCCTCATGGCAGATTAGAAAAAGTAATACCCCAAGGCATGATATCACGAAGGAAGGGCAGGGGCCGACCAATATGAAGATGGGCATATGATATAAGCAACTCCTTTAATATGAAAGTAAACGAGGTGGGAGAGCTGGCGAGAGACCAAGTTTTTTTTCAGGCAGACCGTGATGAGAGCGACGTTCTGCAAAGGACCTGCTACATGATGATGATGATCTGTTTTCTAAACTTGTATTTCACTGCAACTTAAATATGTTTTATTCACTCTCTTGAAATGATGTTTCACCCACAAAAAAATCAGTTGGGTTAACATATGCTAGATTTATTCTCATTACCTTAGTACACCCCCCTACAAATTATTAGATCTACTTTTTTGCGACCTTGTGTTGAGTAGTTTTGAGTTTTATTGCATCTGATTTTGTGTAAGTGAGCACACGCATGTGTGCGTGTGTGTGTGTGGTACAGTGGAACAACGAATCCCTAATCCTAATGGCACATTGGGTACACAGTCCTAAAGTTCTGATTTGTTTAGCCCAAACAGCACTCAATGGCTGATGTGGTCAACATCCCGATGGCTGCCTTCACTCCTCAGAACATGTCAAACTGGGTCAACCTGGGAGCTAAGTTCATTTTTAGCAAGAAAAAAAAGAGATCTACAAATAGGTAAACGTGCAAATACTCAAAACTGATGCAAGTGTAGAAAATGTAAATGAAATAAATCACAAGTTAACATCACTTAAATGTTAAGTTCAAGTTAACTTCATTTAAATTTAAGTGTTGACATCTAAAGGACACATTTCATTCAAGTAATGGCATTTTAATCTACAATATGTACCAGTTTCTCACAACTAAATGTCAGTATGTTGCACAATTTCCACTTACAATTAAATAGCTTTTACAATTTGGAATATGACAACCTGGCATGGAATGCAATTTTATATTTTCAAGAAAACAACAAAATCACCTGAATAGGATAAAAAAAAAAAAAAAGAACATGTGTGTAAAGTGAATCTCCTACTGTTATGAAAACTGCAAAATTACCATGAAAGATAACATGGAACTAAAGATAACATGGAACAAAATCTGGCTATTCCTCACACACAAAAGATGGCACAGTACAATAAGGTGGTATTAGGTGAAGCCACTGTGGGTGCTGGAATGTTTCTGGAACTTTACCATGCAGACAATATAGTCCTTCTTTCGAACAGTGTAATAGGAATAGCATATTTAATATGTCTGAAAAAAAAAAACACAGGGATTTAGAAAAAAAATTATAGGTTGTCAAGGTGAATTCACAATATTTACAAACATATTTTTTCTCACCCCCAAAAACATCTTTAAAAAAATGTTGCTTGTGTGGGAAGGGGTTCAGTCACACCCCACTATGTCTACACATTATGCAGTTGCAGCCAGTACCAAAAACTGTCATACAGGCGTACTGAGCACTGTCAAAAGACATCACGTCAACCAAAATGCATAAAAGCTAGAAAAATGGCTGTCTTGGGGTGACAGGGTAAACAGACGTCACCTAAGGATTTTTTTTCTAAGTTACACCAAATTATAGTAGAGATGTATAGTATGATGTTTCCTCAAAAGAAGTTAGTATATTTGTCTTTTTAAGCTAAGTGTTTTCTTTGTGAGTATACAGATCATGCTTTCAAAACACATCAAATCATTGAGTCCATAAATGCCTGACTCCCCTCAGTAAATATTTCCACATACAGTGACTTACAGAACAAGTTCTTTTTGTTTTCACTGTCTTTATATCATGTTTTTGTTTGGAATATTCATTGATAAGGTCTTGTTCATAAAACAAATACCCCCTTTTTTTAAAACTAAAATTCTTTATGTTTAACAACATGCTGTTCAGTTCTTGCTGAGCAATGCTACCCTTAAACCACAACAAGATACAAAAGTAAAAAATAGTAAGTTTAAAAAAAAAAGAAGTAAACAACAAATATCCCAGTGGCATGTGCTTTCCGAACCAGGCCCTGTTTACAAAATAGTGTGGACTTGTTTATAAAGATTCTGAGTCATATTTCAGCTCATTCATTTTATACATAAGCTTGCTACAATGTCTGCTATTTCTGAATGAGCAAACAAAACTTTAGCATGTTACTTTAGATAAATACACCCGTACGCCCAGACTCGACAACAAGATATCGGGCACCCACACCAACCAGCCCGACCAGCACCAACCAGCCGAGTAGCCAGGCCCAACTCATGCGTGTGATCACGGAACTTAAAGCCGAATTGCAGCAGCAGAAAGCCATAGCCACCGCCGAGTAGGTCGAAAGGCACGAGCTAATCTCCCTGATGCTGGGAGAGATTAAAGCCTTGAAAGAGGACAGAAAAGCCTACGCAGCACTACAGCTCAAAAACAAGAAACAAGCTGCAGAAACTATAGACAATATCAAGACACTGATTACAAGCTTGGCAGTGGCACATGCAGCAGATGAGAAGCGCAGACAAGAAGAGAGGGAGGAGAGAAGCAGAGAGATGGCCGTGCTGAAAGAGGCGAGAGAGGAAACATACAGAGAAATCACCCGACTGGTTCAGACGAAATCCGAAGCAGAAGCGGCAGAGATGACAGCCAGAACAGAGCATGCCCGCCTACAGAGCGAACTAGAGAGAGCCGCCAGGCAACCAAATGTAAGCAAGGCCGACAAAAATACACAGACAACCGATGAGGAAAGCACTATCCAGCCTGATGAAGTAACCGTATCCGAAGCTACAGAGGTGACCCCCAGCCGCAGAAGAAACCACAACCTGTACAGAAAGCAAAGAGGCGGCAGCCGATGAGATTAAAAGCGAGGCCGACCTCCTCAAGAAGTTACAATATTATAACGAACAGATACACCCGCACAAGATCGAGCTGGAGAGGAACCGCTATTGTATCGGATTTAATAGAGAGGAGATAGATAAAGTACAATTGCTACCCGACGAGGAAAAGCAGGCCTTCTACAAAAAAAAATGCGGCTTCTGCGAGGTAATAGAAACAGCCAATATAAAGTTGAGGGAAGCAAGATGGAACCAAAGCACGCCAAACAGACGTCAACGCAAACATTGACAGAGCCAGCAGCCAAATGAAACCACCAAGCCGCCATGACACACAGTTCCCGTGGAACAAGCCAACCTCACTGACGCGACGAAGCCCAAACAACCAGATTGACCACTCCCACCCATCCCGTTCCAGGCCACCCAGGCACATATGGCTGTCCATTTCAGGACAGCCATGCCCACTCCCAAAACCTGCAAGCCGCCCGCCAAGCCCACGCTGCTGACATGATGCAACAACTAACAGGAAACACAGACGAAAATCATCGCCACAACAGAAAGAAATTCAAGCTCAGACAGCAAATAACCCGTCCTTGAGAAAACAGGCCATCAGGCGGTTAAAAAAGGACCAAGCTTTTCTTTTAGCACCGGCGAGGATCCTGAAATACTTTGGGTAGATTTTAAACTCCAAATTTTGCCTGGGAAGCACCGTTGGGCTACTCTTTTCAATTTCCAACTGCCAAGGGATTTTTTACATGCACGACAATGCACACGGACGTCCGATCTCACTACCCAGAGACCAGGGGGAATTTCCAGAAGTCAAAGTCCACATGAAAAAATCCCAGCCCTTATCGGGGTTTGAATCCGGAACTTCTAGCACTTGAGGCAGACGCCATGCCTCGAGACCAAGCAGGTCCCTTGGTAGACCTGATAAGGCACCTAGGTATTTATAATGGAACTCTTGTGGGTGCTGTTGCTTTTTTTTGGCTACTTCATCTATTACTTCCGGTAGCAGTAGACAGGGCTGATGGAGTCAATGGGAGTTGAAGAGCAACAGCATCTCCTGATGGTGGATTAGATGCTGAAAAAGAGGCTGAGAGATTGAAGTCTGACATTCTTGAAGTTGATGGCTCAGTGTGATTTTCTGATTCTTGGTCAAGGCTTGTGCTTTCACTTTCCTGTCTTCCTCTGTCAGAATCTATTTCCCTTCTATATGCAGTAACATCTAAAAAAAAAAATTAAAAAAAAGTTTTTAAAGGGATTTACATATTCATGCAAAACTATGATATACAAATGAAAAAAAAAAAAAACTAATTTATGCATCTTTAACATATGACCAACTTGCTAAAGAAACTTGCAAAAAAAAAAAAAAAAAAGAAGAAACCATTTAAAAAAAGGAAATAAACAGACTGAAGAAGCAAGGATATTCAACAGACAAACACCGATTAGAGGGGCCAGAAATGCCAAACTAAATTTCAGACAAAATACATAAATTGTGCACAGGACAGAACAGAAGCTATAAAGGAACGAATGCACTCAAAGGGTTATTATGTGCATGCAGGCTTGTTTAACAGCCCGCAATTCTGGCCTCACTTCTCTTTAGGCTATGGCCTACAATATGTTAATGTTTACATCCTTTGTCTAAAGAAGCCGCAAATCCCACACTTCTGATTTGGGTCAAATTCTCCATAAATGTAACTTTTCCGACTTGTCTAGTGAATTACTTACAAGATACAGTTAATGCTTTTGGCTTTTTTTTTTTTACCTGTGCAAAGGTTTAGCAAGTCAGCATATGAATACATTAACTAAAAATAGCATTTATAGTGAAAAAGGAGGGAAAGGCCAGTGTTCCTTTCAGCAAGGTAGCTTCAAACATTGATGTGAAAAACTTAGTGTTCTTGAGAGGATTTTTTGTCTGGAACTTTAACAGAGCCATAACCCATTGTTATTAGTGTTGCCTGGGTAAGACAGTTAACTCTTCACAAGCCAAAAGCAATACCTGCAATGGACTACTTTTCCCACTCCATTCATATGTTATTTCATCGAATGCGAGCTCCGTCTGATGTATCAACAATACTACTGGATAATAGTGATGATTTATTCATCATTCAGATACAGCTATACTGATTTTATGTATCACTCAGATATAACAACACTGATTCATGTATCATTCAGACATAGCAACACTAATTCATGTATCACCCATATATAACAACACTAATTCATGCATCACTCAGAATTTAACAAAACTGATTAATGCATCATTCACATATAACAAGACCAATGCCTGCATCATTCAGATATAACAACACTAATTCATGCATCACTCAAATACAACAACACTGACTCATGCATCACTCAGATACAACAACACTGATTCAGGCATCACTCAGAATATAACAATACTGATTCACACATCACTCAGATATAACAACAATGAACCATGCATCACTCAGATGTAACAATACTGATACATGCATCACTCAGATATAACAACAATGAACCATGCATCACTCAGATATAACAATACTGATACATGCATCACTCAGATATAACAACAATGAACCATGCATCACTCAGATATAACAATACTGATACATGCATCACTCAGATATAACAACAATGAACCATGCATCACTCAGATATAACAATACTGATACATGCATCACTCAGATATAACAACAATGAACCATGCATCACTCAGATATAACAACAATGAACCATGCATCACTCAGATGTAACAATACTGATACATGCATCACTTATACATAACAACATTATCTCATGCAAAATTAGATGTAACAATACTCATCCATGCATCACACAGATGTAACAATACTGAACCATGTATCACTCAGATATAATAATACTGAACAATTTATCACTCAGATATAACAATACTAATTCATGCATCACTCAGATATAACCATACTAATTCATGCATCACTCAGATATAACAACACTGAACAACGTATCAAGATATAGCAACACTAATTCATACATTACTCACATATAACATTACTGAATCATGTATTACTTACATATAACATTACTGAGCCATGTATTACTCATATATAACATTATTGAACCATGCATTACTCAGATATAACATTACTGAACCATGCATTACTCAGATATAACATTACTGAACCATGCATTACTCATATATAACATTACTGAACCATGCATTACTCAGATATAACATTATTATTGTCTCTCCCTCCCTGTTTCTTTTCCAAATCAGCCATTTTCTCTATATGTCCCAAACATTGCAGTCATTTAGCTCCCATGATGCCAGTAATTAATGGTGATCAGATTCTGACTTATGATTATGAACCTACAAACACTTGGTGTCACCAACTGGAAAGAGAAGGCCAACCACAGAGACAAGTAGAGGCAGGTGATATCTGCAGCAATAAACCTCAAGGTCTCAGAACGCTGAAGAAGAAGAAGCACAAGATTCTGAATTATTCACATTACTTACCTAAATGAAATCCTCCTGGAGCTATGGTGTGGACCACTGGCTGGCGGAGTCTGTTGCCTCGATGCTGTTGTCTGTGTTTCTTAATAGCCTGTATTATGCAGACAATCAGCACAACAAAGACTACAGCCATAACGGCAGACACTATAGCAGCAATAGTATCAGTGAGTGTCCTATGGTCGCAACTGTAGAAGTACTGAACATCTGACTGCACAGAGCCATCATTGGGGGTGTCGGATGTGGTCATTGTTCTTGGGACAAATATCCGTAAAAGTGATTCAACACTGTTATAGCAATAACTGATCTTGTATTATACTGACCACCTTTTCAATATGTTGCTTAGGAGGTAGGAGTGGTCTAGAGATACAGTATCTGCCTCTAAATTGAAAAGCTCTAAATTCTGACTTTAAAAGAATACATTCTTTGCTGAGCCCAACACTGACCTGTTCTTCTTTCCTGACCTCTGCATCTTAGTCTTAAATGAATCAGTTGCTTAGCCTTTTTAGAAAAGAACAAATAACTTCATTGCTGTCCCAATATGGGACGCAATTTTCTTTGTTGTTTTAAAGCCCCACTCCTGCTTTGGTCAGGGGTCCTTACATAACCTAACAGTTGAACAGAGTTTCTGGGAACTTTCTTGCGTAAACCACATCAAAATGCTGGCACTTTGTGTCACCAGGTGTTTGTCGCTCAGTGTGATGTCCTGGTGGCGTTGAACATCACAAAAGAACAAATGCAACAGAGATTCCAATTTAATTTAAACATTCTTCAGCAGTTAGCAATTGTAGATTACACTGTAATGGCAACTGCTAAATTTCTATACCACAAATAATATGAATAAAAGAATATTTACAGTAAGTCTGTTCAGGCCTGGTGAGGTCCTATGTGATGCACAAATAGCCCACAACAGATGACTATGTTATAATTCATTCTATAAGTGGCATGCAATATATTATAAAGTTAATGTTGATATTTCTCATGCTGTAGTAATGCATGGTGCAACAACAGTTTTACTTTTGCTGTGCCATGTTGATGATCTTCCTTTCGCTGCAGTAAGATAATATATATGGCCCCTCATCTGAAACATAACATTAAATATTTTAAACTTAACAATCTTTACTCTACAGATGACATCACTTTTCTATCTGTGACTGTGTCAACAACAAACAAACAAAATCATTTTCTTGGTCAAAGGGAAGGAAGGCAGTATTTTTTCTTTGTTTGTGTTTAGTGATTAATTCCCTTCAAATTAAAAAAAAAAAAAATCACCTTCGCACAAAATAAATCTTTTTTTTTTTTAGTAACATGAGGGCTGCAATGATGCAACAGCCATCAGGCTTGCTTGTCTGCTCGATGATCATAGGTTTGACCACCTAAAATTTATAAAAACTGACCAAGACTCAAAATTGTTTCTGCTTCTCATCTAGTCTCTAAAGGTAGAGTTTTAGAGATTAAAATGATGTGTTTCTTTTTAATGATTTAAAACAAAAAGGTAAGTCTTACACATTTTTACAGGGCAAAAGAGTTAATGATATTATTTTAACCATTATAGACCGAAGCAGTTTCTATTCAAGACAGGGGCTGCTCACAGTGACAATTTTTGGGGATGCTGTCTCAGATAGTTGGTACTCCTGTCTGCTGTGGTCCGGACAAAGAATGAAAAAGAGTTTTTGGACGACTTAGTCTTTGTGTCAAAGCTCTCTCCCTTGGCCGCACTGCAAACAGTGATCGGTACTTTTAAAAAGCCAACGAAACAAAACGACACAAGCAACATGGCAGTTAGACGCACTCACATAACTAACATCGTTCTTGCGACCAAATTCGTCGACGCCGTACACAGTCACATGCACACACAAACAGTTGAGGGCCTCTGGATGCTGGTCAAATGCACAAATTCGCCAACGATTGGGCACCAGTAAGATACACTATTGGCGTCATATTTAGCAGAATTTCACTTAACGCCACTCCCACAAACATCAGATTGTCGGCCAGTAAAAAAACCCTACGTCAAAGGGAAGGAACAGTATTCTTTGTTTGTGTTTAACCCTACCCCTCAACCCTAAAAAAACCCTACACCTTTGCTCTAACCCAACAACTTTTTTTTGATGACTACACAACCATTCACGGCTCACTTTTCTGCTGCATGCAAACATATGATGACCACGCATCCCTTCACGATGCCAAGACTCAAACCGTACGCAGCTTCTACACTCAACCGTAGATTTTAGAGATTAAGTGTGTCGTTTTCTTTCGTTGATTTTTCCGATCACTGTTTGCAGTGCAGGGCAAAAGAGTTAATGAGAACTCTGACTAAGTTGTCCAAGGCTTTTTATTCTTCGTCCGGATTTGACAGGAGAGCCCAGATAGTTTTTCAGCGATTGTTTTAACTCTTTCAGTACCACGCCTATTCTATAGGTAAACAACAAATCGAACGGTCTGGCCATGTAACAAGATTGGGATCAGACAGGGAACCACAGAGAGCAATGTTTTACAGATACAATGGTAACAGATCCAGAGGTCGACAGGGCAGAAGATGGACCACAGAAATATAACACACTGACAAGTACTTTATATGAAACGAACAGGTAGGCTCGTTCCAGAGATATCGTCCTGCTCTGACACCGCTAGGCATTCCAGAAGTAGAGAAAAGAAGAAGAAGAAGTACTATGCAGTTGTTACTTTAACTCATTCTTTCCCAAGTAGTTGCGCGTTAAGTGAAAGAAGTTTAAGTCTGAAGGAGTTTAAAGAGACACTATGAGACTGAAGTGGTTAAAATAATAACACAAAACAACTGGGATAATATAACATAAGTACGTGGTAGAAGACATAAAAAACATCATATTATCTTTGGAATGAGCAAGAAACGTATGGTAAGTTGATTAGTACTGCAAAAGTTAATACTGTATAAAACTAAGCAAACATAAAAGAGACTCGCTTCAATGCCTGCCCGTCTTCCTCTTTCTTTGCGTTCACAGGCTGTAAACTCCAGCAGAAAGTTCAAAGCTCTGGTTTGTTAGTCATAGTCCACCTTTGGCTATTAGTCTTGTTTCAAAACCTGAGTGTTATGTGCACATCTGTTTTAAAGTATGCAGAATGTTGGTTCCGTGCGGCGTGCCTCTCAGGCAGATTCACTCCGATTTAGAAAGGAAGCTCCTCATTTAGTATCACTATGTATTATTATTACCAGTAGCTAGTGAACACCTGTAGCTATCCCTGTCAAGTGATTTCTTTTTCAAATGCCCAGTCCAGATGTGTTGTTTCTTACAGGTGAAAAATATTACGACAAATACTTTTGTTTTGTTTGCGACTTTACTATTTACTACAAATAGGTCTGTCTCCGGCATAAACATTAGTAAGGCAGCGGCGAACGGCTACGGTGTGGTAGAGCTACAACAGGTACGTTTCAACAATGCAGTTTGAAGGTGAATTAATCAACTCGCGGTTTAAAATATTCACTTTACCCCCTTCCCTCGCATCCCCAAATGGAGCATAGGATCTCAACTAACTCATGCTATGAGATGACTGGTAACTGGTGTTGGTAAAAAAAAACAAAAAACTTCTTGCCTCTTTCAACCAGCTCCTAGATTGAGCATTGGTTATATCGTGGCTTTGTTTATGTGCTTGGAGTTTGTTCTCCAATGAAATATTTTCCTCCTTATTTGTGGCGTTTCCATACGCCTTAGCTTTTGCTCGGTGTTTGAGCTGTTAATTCATATTTGTCACGTCCGTCGTCGCCTGCCGCACTACTGCATCCTCTTGGTACGTCATCATATAGCACTCTGGTCAGCCCAAAACACGGCCCTTTTCAGGGTCCCCAATTTAACTTCTTTTTGCTAGCTTTTTGTTTTCGCTCCATACATGTGTATGTGCGCAAGCTTTTTTTTTTTGTGTGTGCCTTTTTTTTTTTTTTTGGAGCCAAATCTGTTTTTTTTTGGGGCTGTTTGGCTTTTTTCTTTTTTTTTCAACTTTTTATCCAGTTTTCTTCTGGCCACACATGGTTGGGAAGTAGTGGAGATAGGTAAGAGTAGGCTCAATTGAAAATTGAGAGATAGTGTTTGAGGACTTACAGTGAGGTCGGAAGATGGAGATAGATGTGATAGCTTAACTAAGATCTGTGTTTGTTGTCCTCTGGGCTGCTGCACTTGCTACTGAATTGTCCGCTTCCGTGGGTGTGTCAGTTTCCTCAGTTGGTGTGTTGGCCTCGTCCGGGGGCTTATTTTTTGAAGTCCTGGAAATGAACTGTGTCACCAGTTTTTGCAGTTCTTTGCTGCTGTCCACTTTTAGACAATCCTCTAAGGATATTGGTTTCTTCTGTCTGTTGAAGAAATCGCCTAGCTGTTTTCTTTGATCGCTGTATTTGCGGCAATAGATCAGGTAGTGTTCTATTGAATTTTGTGCTTTGCACGTGTCGCATGTTGGGTGCTGGAATCTTTCTGGCCAGTAACCCAGTCGCAGCTTCCATAGTTTGTTGTTTGCTGGGATTTTTGTTGGTTCTTTGATCTGCGACTGGGTCCTGGGCTTTTTTAGCATTTTGTGGGCGTGTCTCCCTTTTGTGTCGTCGGTCCACTGTTTTTCCCACGCTTCAGTGATTAGTCGTTTGGTGGCCGCATTGACTTCTGACTTTCCCAGCCCTATGTTTACTTTGGCGTCGCAGCTTTATCCGCCAGCTCGTTGCGGTTTATGCCCTTATGCGCTGGGATCCAGCACAAGGTCAGTTCACCGCCCCTTTTTTTTAGTTTTGTGGCTGCGGCGAGTAACGTTTCCTTTATGTCTGGTCTGCTGCATTTGCCTAGGTCGGTCAGGGATTGAATCGCCGACAGGGAGTCGGACAGAATGTGCACTGTGTTTGGTGGTTGTTCCAGCGCCATCTCGATGGCTTTCAGCACGCCAATAATTCTGCCGTGTACACCGAGACCCCATCCGGCAATTTAAATTTTCTGGTTTAATTGATTTGGGGTGCACATATCCCCACCCCGACTTCCCCCGCCCTTGTTTTAGATCCGTCGGTGAAAATGATGAGGCAACTATCCGGCAGGGACGCGATGTGTTCCTCTGCGGTTCGTTTTGCCTACCCCTTTTCAGTCTTTCTGGAGATCATGCTGGCGAGGTGGGTGTCGGTCTTGGGTGGTGCCTGCTCCCACGGTGGTACGGTGGCGGTGTGTTTTTTCATTTCTATGAGAGTTTGCTCTGTTGCTCTATTTCCCACGGCCCTTGCCAGTAACCAGGCTATGGGTTCCTTGAAACGCG